AGGACACCAACCAAGATATTCTTTTATGTGAAATCAGATGTGATGTTGTGATATACTCCTATGTGAAAATGCTTCATAAAAGGGAAGGCATCATACAAATAATTATTGTTATTAATGTAGTCTCCGTTGCCCTGATCATTGAGAATGACCCTTAACCTTTGATTGAGACATCCAACTTGCCCTATCCACAGCAAATTCGCCGATATTCATCTTGTTAGGACTCCGTAGCCCTTGCCAGTTCCATTGTCCTCAATACCCACAACCAGTCAGTCTAGAGCTTTTCCTGTGCTCTGCGCCTTTATGTGGAGCACTGGAGATGGTTCTTGAAGTAGTGGAGAGCCAGTTTGAACTGGACCCCAGCCCTGGTGTTGGTCCTGTATATGCTGTAGGTCTTCTCCAGGGCGGCCAACTCCGAGTCCTCCGATGGACTGCGGGACTGGTGACCGACAACCACATCTGGGCATGAGCCCACCAGCAGACTCCCCAGCCCATCAATAAAAAACTCTGTGAAGAGAGAGAGAGCGGGAGAAGAAATGAGAGCTGCCGCCAGAGAGCCTCCTGCAGGCAGCTCTGCGAGGGCGGCCAAGGGAGAAGCTAGAGAGGTCCAGCTCAATGTAAAGCCACACCCGAACTCCAGGAACCTGCCTGTCCCGATGTTTTCGGAGGCAATAAACTCATTTCTCAGGCAGAGAGGCATGATCAGGCTTCTACGGAACAGAACTGTGGGCTCCAGCTTGGAAGGATTGAGAGAGAAAGGCAGGGGTAGTTAAAGGCAGCAGCGCTTTAATAGGAGAGGACTTCAGGGGAAAAAGAGAGAGAGCAGAGCTGTAGGGGAATGAAGGGGAGGGGCATCTCAGATGGGCAAGGACCCAAGCCTGGGAGAGGCACGGAAGTGGAAGGCAGGTGAAGAGAGAGGGAGGCAAGAAAGATCATGAGCTCCCTAGTTTAGGGTGAAAGAGGAAGGAGACCCACTGGTGTGGCTCTTGGTGAGAACGCGCTTCGGAGGGGTACGCCCAGCCCGGCTCCCTTCCCCGCTTCTCCAGCCTCCCACCTGAATGCGCCACACGTTGCAGGCGGGGATCAAAGCCAACTCTAAGGAGTCGCTCCGTGTGGGCCAGGAAGAAGTTGGCAACGCCACTGGTCACCACACAGCGGGGGAAGCCGTCCAGGCGCTGGAACCATCCGTTCCTCTTGTGAAGACAGTCACCAGCCTCGCTCTGTTCCAGCAACAGCTTGAACTGGAACGCGTTCCCCATCACGCTGCCACCCACCTAGCCAGAGGGCACAGAGATGTGGTTTGAGAGCATCCTGCCTCTTCCAGGAAGCTCCACTGGACCACACCTCCCGTGTGATGAGAATCGCACCTATTCTGGATTTACCCTTCAAACCATCCCTCAGTTACTCTCTTCTTGCTCTGCGACCAAAGTTTGTACTATACTGCTGCAGGGCCTTTTGGAGCTTTGAATTCCTGCCTTCCCTGATCTCCTTGATGTGAACAGCATTTCCCAAGTCCAAAAGTCAGGCAACTGCTACCTTATGTTCTGATCACAGGAGCACAAGCTCTCCTGACGTGCAAGATCTCTCAGCACTTCCTTCCATTATCTTAGTTCAAGCAAGAGGCAGCCTATTCTCAATGGTCCATTTGTGAAGTGTGCATTTGCCAGATCTCCTTGCAGAAGGCGATGTACCTAAGCTGCCTTCCTCCCTTCTGTCTGATCCTGGCTTACCTCTCTATGCTGCCTGTCCATGCACCCATGGGGGATAAATGCATTTAAATGTTTGAGCTTCAGCAAAACAGGATGAGCAAGTACGTCATCCTTGGTATCCACGGAGAGCCGGTTCTCAGACCCTCTGCAGATACAGAACTCCACAGATGCTCAGGTCCCTTGTATGAAACGGCACAATTTCTGCAAATAACCTAAACACATCTTCCTGTATACTTTACATTTTCTCTAGGGCGGGAGGTGTAGCTCAATGGTAAAGCACTTGCCTAGCTGAGGTCCTGGGTTCCATCCCTAGCATTGAAAAAAAAATCATCTCTGGATTTCTTCTGGCACCTAACACAATGTAGTTGTTACACTGTATTGTTTAGGGAATAATAATAAGAAATGAAAATTTGTACAGGTTCAATATAGTCGTGACCCTCGAGTGGCCTAACTACCTATTACATGTCAGCAACAAGATAACTCCACCCCCTGCCATTTTTGATCAGAGGTTGATTAGGTCCTCTGTTATAGAACCCACCAATACCAGGGGCAGACTGTATATCTAGTCCTGAAACAATCACCATCATTTAAAGGTGACACACTGAGGTCTACATTGCTCCTTCTCATCTTTTCCTTCTTCCTTACTTTTTATAAATGAACCCTCTGAGTTTTTAAGTGGAATAAATTTAAGTTGGCTAAAATCAGTTAGCCAACTAAAGATGACATTTCCCACACCTCCTGCATCATAGTTTAATCTGGTGGCTAAATTCTGACTGGAAGGATATGATTTAGAACTAGTGTGTGCAAAATCTAGCTCATGTCCTTAAAAGAAACCTTTGCAGGCCAGGTGTGGTGATGCATACCTATAATCCCAGAGGCTTCCCAGGCTGATGCAGGAGGATCAGGGTTCAAAGCCAGCCCCAGCAATTTAGTGAGACCCTATGGAACTTAGCAAGACTTTGTCTCAAATTAAAAAAAAAAA